CCCTGCTCTGTCACCACAGGGCTTCCCTCACTCACTCCAGATGTGATGGATAGAGGGTGCTGACCTTGCTCCTGGGCCTCGAGATTCACGTGTGGCCCACTCCCGCACTGAGAGTACAGGGCCAGGGTCAGGGTCAGACAGAGGAAGCATGTGCGTTTAGCGAGCGTCGCCTCTGGAGTCGGGAAAAGGCACCTTCTTCGTCCTGGCTGAGTTGGAGGGATGGAAGTTGCAGCTTCCCTTGGACAACGTTGCCACTAGGTGAGAATGGCCTGTCTGAGAGTGAGGTGAGCAAAGAGGAAAGCCCAGAGGATGGATACGTTTCTCACAGCATTTGAAACTACTCAGGCCTCACTGTCCTGCTGTGCCTGAAGCTAGGCTTACTTCAGAAATTTCTACTTGTTCAATAGTTTTCTAGCCTAAGCAAACTTTTGCTAAGTTTTCTGTTACTCACCCTCAAAAGAACCCTGGTTAACAAGAGCATTGACAGAAAAAAATGTTTTAAAGTTTTATTTATTTCTTCCACAAGTGAAAGAGACAGATGCACAGGGACCAGCAGTTAGCGTAATAGCTATGTCCTTGGACTCCCACGTAGTCGACTGCAGTTTGAGTCTCAGACCCGGTGGCTTGAACTCACGCCAGGCACGTGTGCGTGCATGCCCAAGATCCCAAGAGGAGAATGGAGGAGAAGGGATTGCGGCGTGGCCATCCCCCCGGGGGGTGATTTCTCGCTTTCTGTCTCTCTGTATCTCTCTGTATCTCTCTGTCTGGCGAGCGCACGCACCCTATAGCAAAAACCTCTCCAAAAAAAGAAAAAAAAAAGAGACAGATAAACCTCTCCAAAAAAAGAGAAAAAAAAAGAGACAGGCACACAGAGAGAGGGAGAGAAAGTGAGAGAGAGAGAGAGAGAGAGAGATATCGAGGCAGTGCCTCCCCCACTAGGTTTTGGGTGCCATGATCCACACCCAACCGCAGCCAGCCCAAGGTCAAGGGCATGTGTCACAGCCTGAACTAGAGTTCTCTAGATTTGAGTCAAGACTGTCCATGTGGGGTTGCCTTGCAGAGCACGGAGTTTCACTGCCGCACCACCACCTGGATGCAGACAGAGGAAATGGTTGGGGTACTTTCACTGTCTCAGATCTTCAGACGTGGGCGAGTCATGCTGGGGGTACACGCACACTTCTGACAGAGCTCAGTAGCCGCAGGGTGCTCTACGCGTGTTCACTGCTGCTGAGGAACAACCACAGACTTAGCAGCTTCCACGATACGCACTAACTTCTTAACCTGTAGGTCGGAAAGCCGCCGTGGGTCTCCTGGGGCAAATGCCGGGGTGCCAGCAGGGCTGCTTTCCTTGCTGGAGACTCCAGACTCCCATCTTCAAAGCCAACCACGTAACGCTCATCATCACATGTCTCTCTCTGACTCTTTCCTCCTGCCTGTTTTTCCACTTTTAAGTACCTTTCTGATTATGTTAGACCCACCGGGTAACTAGAGTACTCTCCCTGTCTACAGTGAGCTGAAGAGCAGCCTCAATCTCACCCACAGAACTAATTTCTCTTTGCCCAGTAAATGAACATATTGACAGGTCATAAGCGTTGGGATGTGGGCCTCTTTGGGGACACAACACATCTTACCTGTCGCAGGTGCATTCTCCTGTCATAGCAAGGAACATGCTGTTTTTGTAATTGCCTGCTTACTTTACCTACTTCACCAATAATCTGTGTGCACACTCCTGTTCCCATCTCGCCCCAGTGCGCTTGTCCACAGCAGATGACAATGATAATTTCTGGGTTTGTTTGCCACAGAAGATTGGAGAAGGAACAATTGAGCAGGTGGTCAGAAAAAGCCTTTGGAAAGTGATTATATTTATTATTGCTGTATCTTTGGCACTTAACATTCTGTAGAATTTTGAAAAATGTTTGGGACATGAATGAATAAAGATGGGGTTTGAGATAAGCCTTGCACGATGCATAGTGCTGAAGATCTAAAATTAAGAATGAGCGAGGTGTACTTGGGACTCACAGAGGAGACGGAAACACTGACTGATGTGGAGGGCTCTCAGAGGAAAGACTGGGCCTTTGCACACACAGGGTCAGGCTGGGGGACAGTGAGCCGTGCCATAGCCTGTGGAGTCAGGGGCTCTGGAGACAGCTCTCCGAGACGGCGTGAAGTCGCAGTGTCACTGCACACTCAGCAACAGCTACCTGCACCCCCTCCCTTGTGATCCCGTCCCGCCCCAGCGACACCGTCAGTGTGTCCGTAACTGTCAAATGTCCATTTCCAGATCCAGCTTCTCGAAACTCCATGCTCACATAGCCGAGAGCCTACTTGATATGGCCACGCAGATATCTAAAAAAAGCATCTTAAATGCTTCAAAATGGACTTCACATATCAAACAAAAACAAAAACCTACTGATTGTCACACCTCCTCCCAAATTTCCATTTCCCCAGTCTCCTACACCTCCTTAAATGGGTATTCCAATCTTCCAACTGCTTAGGAGAAAAATGATCAAGTCTGCTTTCTCTTATACGCAATTCAACCCATCAGGAAATCCGATCTACTATACATTTAACATGTTCCTAGAATCCAGTGACGTCTCAGTCCCTCTGGTGCTAAATCCTAGTGTAAGCCCCGTCCAGACTCAGTCGGGGTCAGCGCAATGGCCTAACTGTGCTCCTACACTAGTGGAAGCCC